TATGGCAAACAAACGCCATAACAAAATTAATTAAATTATTTGCAAAAGTCAAGTTCACACAGTCCTCATCCAATATAGTCAAAAGGATTTCAAAAAAGAGAGACACTAGGTACAGGATCAGCTTCGACAGCATAAAGGGGTCTTGTTAATCTTAGGGCAGCACCCTGCTGCCAAGGATTGCCTTTACTTTCCTAAAAAGTGTTCCACCTGGAAAGAGCCCAGTAGTTTGTCAGAAAGTATGCAGTCTGGGCTACGTTAAGAAAAGTTCTGGAGACTGAAGAATGTAAGAGTTTCTGTATATTTTGCCGTAAACATTACTAGAAAGCTTACATATTTTATCCAGTTTTAGTAGAAAACGAACTTATTGATTTTTTTATACTTCCCTTAAAGCCAATATATAAACAATTCCAGCTTTTCTACTCTGCTTTGAGAAGCTGCTGGACAGTTGAGAATATTTATCAAAGGAACACATGACTGGAAGAAAACCACTTGGTCTATCCTGTTTCAACTTAAAACTACTTAAGCTCCTATCACTGTGCAAACACTTTCTGGCAAACTCTTCTTGAGCTACACTGGTTTATCTGTTGGAAATCATCTCCCCATTTCCAGGCTAGACATTTTTCATGGCATTTCTTTTCCACTTGAACAAATACTGGTTTTAACTTGTATAGTTCTTCTAACTTGGTACTGATTCTTACCTGACACATTTATGGTAAATCAACGTATTCCCCTCTCAGTTATTAAGTCGTCATGCTTCATACCCTTAAGATCTTGTACATTACTACTGTTGGCTTTGGCAGTCATGAGTTCTTCTCTGTCTGTTCCTGTAGCTCCCAGAGTGCTCCTGCTCACACCCCACACCCCACTCCCCATCATTCCAACCAAATCACTAAAAACTGCCCTGCACTGGCACTAGTGCTCCGTGAAACCTCCCCTAAGTGCAGAGGAGGGAACCTCAGCCACTCCTCCTCCAAACAGCAAATTACTGCAATATTGGAGAATGGCTTCACATGTTATAAAAGTGTCTCAGTTGTTTCTCATAATCATAGTGAGTGGAATGTATTTATTCTCTATAGTAATGTATTCAACGCATCTGAAAGTCCTGTAGAAGTGCAGAAGGAAGGTCACATCTCAAAACCCAGCAAAGTGTTAGTATCTTATAATTATGTACAAGTTGCTGAAAATAAATGATCAAGAAGTATCTAACATATATCCGTATAAAGGACAGTACATAAACAAGAAGGGTAATGTATAGGACTGTGCTTTGGGTTTGTGCCTCGGTGTTGACAACACACAGGTTGTTGACTACTGCTGAGCAGTGCTTGCACAGCCCCAAGGTCTTTTCTTTTTCCCACCCCCCCACCTCCCCCCAACTCCTGCAAATGGCCTGGGGGTGTGCAAGAAGCTGGAAGGGGCATAGCCAGGACAGCTGCCAAAATGACCGAAGGGATATTCCATGCCATATAAACATTGTGCTCAGCAATAAAAGCCGAGGAAACGGGGAGGAAGGGGGGATGTTTGGGGTTATGGCGTTTGCCTCGCCCAGTCTCTGCTGCGTATGACGGAGCCCAGCTTTCCAGGAATTGGCTGGACATCTGCCTGCCAACAGGAAGCCACCGAATGGATTCCTTGGTTTGCTTTGCCTGTGTGCGCAGCTTTGCTTCCCTTACTACGCTGTCTCGATCCACGAGTTTTCTCACCTTTGCTCTTCCAGTTCTGTCCCCCCTCCCATTGTGGGGGGAGTGAATGACCAGCTATATGAACACTTAGCTGCTGGCCAGGGTCAACTCATCACCATCACTAAAGTATTTTTGAACGTGATAATATGCACAGAGACAGTGGCCAGACAGTTAAAAATGAGATCATAGTTGATGCAATAACCTTCAGAAACAGTTTCAATATGCTGATTTAGCCAGACAACAATAATTTTTTCCTTTATGAGCAGGACAGTGACTAGAAGTTGAGACACATGTGAATTAAACAAGAACTAAAAGCACATGGCCTGCTTGTCTTAGTATATGTAATAGAGGTAAGGAACTCCCATTTGGTACTGAAATATCTAAAGCATGTGCAAGCGAGGGCCAAGGTTCAAAGAAGCAGCATGTATTTGTCTAAGTACGCAGGATGTTTTTTAAACTTGGGTAAGTCAAGTACTATAAGTTAGCTGATTGTTAACAGGCTTATTAAAAGATACTTTTCAACTACACTTGAAATAATACATTTTAACTTTTATTCTTGCAGCTCAAACTACATGTAAAAAAAAGAATGAGAAGTAAAACTAGAAAGGAAAGGAATCCATCTATATATTCCTTTTCGTCTTTTAAGGAAAACTTCCTTACAGTTTCTAAAGGTATGAATTGTAAATAGGAATGAACATTAAGTTTTCTATGTTACTGCTCATTGCTCAACTTTAATAGTTTTTTCTTGATACTGTTTTATATTTGATAATCTTGAAACAAAACAGTATCATTAACGATCCACATCTGTAATTTGAAAAATTTCCTAAACACTTTTAATTTGAGGATCATATGAACACATGGATTAGATTCACAGGCTCATGTGGAGCCAATGAGTAGTACACAACATTTCATTCACTTTTTAAACCAGTCCTAAAAGCTTTTTACTTTCCCCTAACCACCAACTAATTAATTTGCCTACCACTTGCTGGCTCTGGGACAATGCTCCCATAACCCCCTCCCACCTAACTCAGTCATTAACTAGGTTAAGGGAGCATTTCCCTTGCAAATGAGTCCCCTAAGCATTTTTACTTTTTTTCCACCAAAGAGAGAGCAGAGCATACTTACTTTACTTTGTATGCAACAGACAGTATTTCTCTTTAAATATAAAAAAAGGAAATAGGCCCCAATATCACTGTGAACTGGTAAAAATATTTTTGCCTGCACAGAAGTAAGTGATAAGGGAAAGCTTTAGCATGTGTTAAAGTAAGGAGTAATTAAAGTATTTTGGCACTCCACTTTGATGGTTCTGACTCTTTTTCAAGTTGCCCTTAGTTTTGTTTAACTCATCTCAAGAGGCAAATAGGAGAAACAGAATGGGTCCGTCATAAACAGGAGGTCAAAATATTCACACACCTCTTCAGCTTCAGCTAACTCCTGAGCACAAGTAAGGCTGAGATTTATGCGATTTTAGGAAGGAGCATGAAGAATCACCTAAAGATAGGGCTCACTCGAGTCATTGCAAAGCTTACTTCAGTAGCCATGAGACCAGCTAGAACTGGCCTAGTTAGCTGGAAAACATGAGCAGACATACTTTAGCTATGCTAAAAATTAAGTCACGTAAAGACAAGATGCGTTGGCGATGCTGGCCACTATAGGAGATACTGAGTTAGCAATTCTACTTAATGATCACAACAGGTTTAAATGATCTGTTGGTCTGTAAAGTAGAGAAGAGTGGTTTAAATAATAAATCCATGAGCTAATCATTAGTGGCTTGCATAATGCCACTTTAGATGAGAATTTCCATATCATGTAGAAAGGCAATGAATGGAGACATTTTCAAATTAGGAAGGATGACAACGATTAGGGCACTTATTAAACAAACAAAAAAAAAGGCAACAATAGATGATATGACAAAGGCGTGAAATACAGAGAAGGACAGAGAATGCATATACACGACTTCTTTCTAAACTATAAAGAGATCAAACGAAAAATGAAAAGTGCTTCAAGATATCAGAGAAGATGAAATGTCCACAGAAAATATTCCATCTGCAAATCACAGCAGTCCTCTCTGCTCCCTTTGGCTCATATTGATGACATCAACTCGAAGGGAAGTTCAAGAATCAGCTTGAGTCTAAGACTTTCCATTGCAATCTCTTTAAAAAGGGCAAACTACTTCATTTTTAATGAAGGACAAGTGCTAGCAATCAGCAGGAGAACTATCAAAGAAAAAAAGTTTACTGAATTGTCTCTGTCATTTAACATAAAAATGACACTACTGGTACAGACCAAAAAGTCCGTGAAGTCCTGTATTCTGTCTGGTGTGCGTAACAGAGGACATTAAGGGCAGAATTGAATGGCACGTTTTTGGTAGCATACTTTTTTGTGCAATTGCATTAAAATTTTGGAAAATCATAGCAAAATTAAGAAAGAAGACTAGAAATAGACTGTATAAATATTTTATATACAAAATGAAGGAATAATTAAATGTTTAAGACCAACTGCTAGCAATAAATTGAGAAAACGGCATAAAATTATTTTTGACATGCAAATTCACACACTTGAAATTGTCACTCTAGTTTCTAAATAGAGAAACAGTTCCGTTTAAAAGATGAGTGATATGACCATGTGAGATATCACCAGGAGGATTCAGAATTAAGAAGGGAATATCAAACTTCTTAGTTTGCAACATATAAGTTTTCCAGTTTTCACAAGGATACGTGGCAAATGTTTTGGAAAAATATCAATTTTTTTCCACCTACAATTTTCTGAATTTAACAAATTGCTATTTCTGAATAATTAACAAGTACGAATTCTGCATTAAATATATCTGCTTATCAATTAAGCAGTTAAATTTTACAAGTAAGAAAGTGTTAAAATACCAAAATAAGTTCCATTAGTTAAAAACTATTAAGGAAACACTATTTCTAGCTATGCTTGTCGTGCCCCCAACTGAATTTAAGGTTCATTGCAACCGAAGCAAACACCCTCTAAGCTCTGTGCTGTACAGTTTAAATCTCCCTGAGCAGTATAGGTTTGCAAAAGATACTAATTTCTTTTTAAAGCACTATTTAAGGGCAGTATTAACGCATAGTCAGGTCTCAGACAGAAAGAATATATTAGGTTTCTCAAAACAGGAATTGAAAACCATCTTTGTATGGATTAAATGCACTAGAAAACAAGTATCTCCATTTTAAAACAGCATATTTAAAAATAAATCTATCACTTATTGTATAACTCTCACCTGTAAAATCTTTGTGTATTGGCTATTATAAAGCAAAAAAGACAACAGGAAAGAGCAATTATTTGCCACAATCCCATTACCTGTGTTCCAGCAGCACCCTGAAGGTCATCTGATTCAGTCCCAAATAACTTGGCAGCAAGTTTGACCAATCCCAGTTCCATTCAGTAATGGCTGACTGTTGATACATGGCAAGAAGCTATTGTTAGTTATTAATCAGTGTTAATATGATCAGTAAATTAAAGCTCCAGCTGTGATATACTAACCAAGAAGGAGGGGGGTCTAGAACAAGGACTTAGACAGATGATATCAATCATGTCCACAGAAGAAGGTTTTTATTCCAATAAGACAGCAATTAATTTATAAATCCATTTGGGGATGTAGCCATTATTTATAAAAAGATAAATCAATTTTTTGAACCGTTATTCTTCCAACTGTTAATGGCATTCTGCCCAACCACTTTGTCTGAGAGCTTGACTCTTTGTTTGAAAAGCAAAATAATTGGCAACTTTTTATGTAACAGCAATTTACATTTTCTGCTGTCAGCAAAAAGTTTGTCATAAAAAACTTGGTATAGCTAGAATTCAAGATGTAACCTGTATTGTAATTAGAGTGATGGTTTATTTGTCTATTGTTTTGTAAGGCACTCCACTGACCAGATGGTTATTATAAACAGCAGTAAGTCTGGACAATACAAACAAATATAACTCCATATTGCTTATTTAGTAAATAAAAACAATTTACAATAATGGTGGGCATAAAAAAGACCTCACAACATACTTATGTCTACAAAGCAGTAACTCCTGTTGCATAATATTAATTTTCTTTGTCAGTAATGGTTAAGAAGTGACAACAAATCAACATTCTTGGGAGGAAATAATTCGAAAATTGTTGTTCTAACACTAAAATAGCACTGAGTAGTTTTAAAAAAAAAAAAAAAGATTAAACAAGACAAAACAATGGAAATAAACCTAAATAAGAAGACTATATCTTGCAGTACTTTTTCTTCTTGCAGACAGCACTTGGTTCTGTGAGAGCAGAATCAGTGCAATCCCTCCCCTTACTTCCATCTTTATTTTATTCTCTTTCTTCTTTTAATTTAATTTTCTCCCAAACCCTCATCTTTCACATGCACTTAAAAATAATGTAGAAAAATAGAGGTGAAATGCAGAATAAGAAAGGGAGACAAGGGTAGCTAATGAAAGAGTAATGCAGTGTGAAAGTGGAAAGTGAACGAGGAACTAACAGTGAACACCTGACAAACAAGAAATAACGGAAGAGTCATCTGAGAGAACAGTGGGAGTAGAAGACAGGGGAGAAAACTGGAAACTGTTCTATAATCTATGTTGAATTAAAAATACATAAATAAATCTGGAAGAAGTACTTGCAAAATCAAGAGGGCTAAAAAGGAGAAACTAAACAGCCAGTGGCAACAGTCATAAAAACAAATAGGAAAATGTATAAGTATTCCAGATAAAAATTCAGTCCACCAGACTGATCAGTTTGTGAAAAAATAAAGGATCAGCCTGAAAAAAGTCACTTCAGGAAAGGAATATTACTTCTTTGTAGCACTTTCCTTCGTTGATACTGTTGAGGGGCTGCATGGCCTGGACTTAATCTTACTAGACAATAGAGGAGCAGCAGCACTGGCAGAGACTGAGGTGTCAGGACAAATTGATAAAATCAAGAGCAACAAGTTACTAGGACCAGATGGTGATTATTCAAGATTTTTACAGGAATGCAAAAATAAAGTGGCTGAATTGTTAACAGAAATGACACACTTCCCAGAATGAGCTACTGAACTAGAGGGCTGGAAGGTAAGAAATTTACATCTCATTAATAAAAATGCCAGGGTTGAACTCAAAACAGTGGTTCAGTGGCCTTTGTTTCAGGAACAGCAAAATTTGTAGAGATTATGATTAATTATCTTGCTAAATTTGACACAATAGGGACAAATTCGCCAAACTTCAGAAAAGTCAGCCACCCTAATGTACCGCAATTTTTACCTATACCAACAAACAATACATGGAACGTTTACTACAAATTATCTTTCAGAAACCTTCTGAAATAAGTCGTTTTCAGAAATCCTCCCATGGATGATATGTTGTTATATATTGTATCATTATATATGAGAATATGTTAAATATGCAGTGTAACACAAGCATTCTCTGTTTAGAGCTGAACCAGCTCTCTGGATTCACAAGCAGTATTGCCACGCCTATTCCAATTGGTCCTTCTGAAAGAAAAGTTTTAAAAAGCCATCCATAATTAACTCATTGACAAAAATGTGAAATCAGTAACTTCTTGGGACTTAGAATTTATAAAAGGATAAAATGTTAGTTGATGTATTAAAAACACACCTAGCTACAATACATTTAAAGAACATAAAGAAATTAGTCATGGATTATAAACTCCTAAGCTTCACAGGAGTTGCCAGCCAGTAAGAAACAAATTGAAGAAGAAATATATCCTGTGAGAAGTATAATTGTTCCTTGCCAGCACTCTGGCATCTTCCTCTGGCATTGGTAATAGTCGTCACAGGAAACCAGACACTGATCTATACTGACCACTATTTTATAAACAGACAGTCCCACATCACCAAATAAATGTGCAATTTTATGGCAAAGGGAACGAAATTATTCAATAATATTATTAAGCTCAGGAAATAAGTCTGTCATTGTCAACCACAGGGTTGGCACATGGTATTCTAAGGTCCATGATCTACTCTTTTTTTTTTTTTTTTTTTTCTTTTAATTTTAAGAATCTTTTCTATACTCAGGCAATAAGACTTTCCACCAGAAGTTTACAAAATCCAAAGCAATTTAATATGAACTATCCCTTGTCATCTGTTGATTAATAGAGCACTGCAAACCTGTCGTGTAGCAGAAGAATTCTGCCCTGAGTTGTCACTACTTGAAGGTCTTATTCTACCACACTATTAATGAATTGAGAATTGAGGCATGGTAAACTACCTTCTGCATTTCAAATTGGACTAAGTGATTCTGTAGCCCCTTAAATTCTATGAATTTAAGAAATAAATAAAGGGACTAGTGGAAGGAAAAAAAGATACTTTTAAAGCATGTTACTGTGGAGTGAAAAGCCTTGTGAAATTGGTATTAATCTCTTTATTCAATATATTAACATTTTTACTTCAACATGACAATGATTAAGCATTCCTTAAACAAGTAAGAAAAAACAAAACAAAACAAACCTGAACCGAAAATCCAAAATCAGATATATTTTACAGCAACACAACAAGTGAAATAGTCCAAAATCTCAGAACTGGGAAAGGAGATTTTACTATGTAAAAGCAGAGTTGTACTGAAAAAGGATGCCTTTCTACCACAAGTCTGTAAAGTGAGTTTCACTGTAATACCATTTCTTTTTAAATATTCAAAATTGAGGGGTAGAATCAAAACTGGAGATGATGCATTAAGAAGACCTAAGAAATGATGGTGAAAGATTTTCTAAGTGTCCAATTGCTATCAGAAACTACATACCATTCTGGGTAATGAATTGGTCATGTGGTGCTTTGGCAGAGATTTAGGCCACTAGATTTATCTTCTTTAACTGCTACAGTATCAGGAAACTAATTCCTATAAGTAAATTATAATCTTTTACATATCGCTAATATGGATTAACGAGAAACAGAGAAATGGACACTTTAATCTTTTCATTTTTGCCCCTGTTCAGTCTCACGGTTCTGTTAAATCTCTGTATTTCCAAAGCACCCTTTACTTTACTGTCCAACGTTTCTGTGAAAGACTCATCAGGAAGATTCTAAATATGCACTTGGAGTTTTGCCATGATTTTTCAAAGTACAAGGACTAGCCCTATGTACCATTACACAGATGTAATAAATGTCATTGCTACTAATGGGCTTTCCTTCACTATACTGAACTAACACAGAAAGTCAAAGTAAAAGCAAATTGCTTCTAGGTGCAATAATTCTGATAAAAGAAAAGGATTATAATGGCTCTTTGAACATCATGCTGTTGTAGAGGGTGCTCTCATTAGATTCTTGAGTAATAATGTTCCTTTGCACTGCATCAAATGTGAACGCATGTAATTAATTCTGTTTTCATAATTTCAGTCTCTGTCATTATCATGATCATAATAAGATCGACAAGTAAAAATTATACTGTAACAAAGGTTTCTGATTTTCACAAACCTGATTGAACACTTTTGCACAAGATTGTCTGTACACCTGGAAAGGGTTGAAGACAGCCTGCTCTTCTCTGCCCTTCAGTGTCAAGGGCAGGTGTTGACTGGAGGTAACACCATCTTCATAAGAATTCTCACAAGACAGCTGCTCTTTCAAGTATTCCTTTTAGAAGAAAAAACAACCATAAAATAGTATATGTCACCAGGTTTTCTAAGGGCAATTGGCCTATATTTCAAGCATAACTTTACAGTGTGCTTGACAGAAGTTCCTTATAGAATCATTGAAGTTGGAAAAGACCTTTAAGATCATCAAGTCCAGTTGTTAACCCAGTACTGCCAAGCCCACCACTAAACCATGTCCCCAAGCACCATCTCTACACGTCTTTTAAACACCTCCAGGGATGATGACTCTATCGCTGCCCTGGGAGCCTGTTCCAGTGTTTGACAACCCTTCTGGTGAAGACATATTTCCTAATGTCCAAACTAAACCGCCCTTGGAACAACTTGAGGCCATTTCCTCTTGTCCTACTGCTTGTTACTCGGGAGCAGAGACCAACCCCCACCTCATTACAACCTCCTTTCAGCCAGTTGTAGAGAGCGATGAGGTCTCACCCTCAGTCTCCTCCAGGCTAAACAACCCCCATTCCCTCAGCTGCTCCTGAATTATAAGGAGGGAATAAGTAATCTCTTACAAAATAGAAACCTTTTTAAGAATAACATCATTTTACAATAAGCAATAAATAACTTCCATGAACATCCATCCAACTAAAGCAAATCAGAATATTCTAAGCTATTGTTTTGAAATTCTTATCAAATTATGTGTATCATTTCTCATATGTGTTAGGTATACGTGCAAGTGAAAAACAAATGTTTTCTATGAGCTGTTCTAACATAAGACAGTTGTTACATGATTTACTTTGCACGATAAACTATACAAAATATTTAAAGTTTTTTTTGGGCAGCATTAAAAGTTACTACATGACTACAAATTAATTATTTGATGAACATGTTCAAACCAGTCATTTAAACACAGGAAATAAATATTCTCCCACTCTTCAAAGCTATCTTTAATTGTTTAAGCATCCAAAAACTAAAAGTCATTTATGATTTATACGGTAATTTTAGAAACTATACTGTAACAGATGCGTGATTATTTTGGCCACAATCTTTTCTATTTTCACTTCTTACACTTCTATGTAAATAAATCATCATTGCATGCCAATAAAGTGTTTTGATTAAATAGTAACATTTTACAAAGAGCTAGATAATGAAACACTTACAGATCTATTTGCCGGAAGGACTACTGTGATTAAACAGTTTATTGTTATTAAAATGAATTCCATAATGATAGTATTGCCATAACATTGAGCATGAACTCAAGGTGAGTCTTCATTAAGACAGGTGGATGCAAATGCTCCTTTTACTTTGCAGTACTACTGAGACGATAAAATTCTCAGATGCAGGTGAGCAAACATTTAAACTACCTGCCAAGGCACCCTCTGCTCCTCAGTGGGTCTTTCTAAAAGAATAATTTCATCATCGGTTTAAACTGATCCAACTGTGGTCTGGCCTGAAAGGCACAAGTTCCCTCCCAATCCACATAGACTGTAGATGTTTCTCCCTTGTGTTGCCATTAGCATATGTTGTGAAATCAGCCAGAAAAAAGAAAGGTTTCAGCCAGATAAACAAGCCACATGATTTCTAGCACTAGTACAAAGCGGGGCCCAGGAGTGGGAAAGCAAAAGAGCAAGAGAAAGAACAGGACTGTCTCTCTCTGCTGGTTGCAGCCAATTGTCAGGACTGCCAAAGACAACCACAAAATCACCTAAGTGTATTTAAAAAAAGAAAAAAGGAAGTCTCAGAGCTTTTTTGGTTTAAAACAACAGCATAACCCAGCTATGAAAACTCACCTTAAGTCTCTTACTTATATTTTCTCAGCCTACAAAAATGTCTGAGTTTTTGTCCCATTCATTCATTACTTCACGCCATAACAAAGAGTTTAAAGTCATGGCGAGGGGGTTATTTAAAAGCTATTTCTATAAATTTACCAATTTTTCATAAATATACTGCCTTCCATGCACACGCTTTCACAAAAATCTATAGACAGCTCTAAAGCAACCCAGCCCTCTGGGTGTCACAGAGCCAGCAGAAGCAGATTCTGTTGCTTTTTTGGTTGCGATACTGGAAATCACTGTCCATGCTTGCTAGGGTTTGAACAGCTCACCTCCCAGTACAGGCATTTTTCTGTCTTTGGAATACCGTGGATTATGCTTTGACAAAGAGACTTGATTCAACAATTGTAAATGCATTACTTTAAGAACTCCTTTAGTATAGCACATATTGTAGACCCTAAAAGGGTAATTTTCCAAAATGTGAAAATAGATAGAAATGAAATCTTGTTTGTAAACATGTGAGCTATATCCTCACTATCATTGACTGGGCATGAAACCAAGTAGATAGAATATTATTGAACTTTACAGCTCTGGAGTGTTGGTTTCTCTCTGGCAGCCATTAGTCAAAAGTGCTTTTAAAAATTATTACTTTTTGATAAATACAGGAAGAACTGCAGGCTGTTTTGAGTTCTACAGTATTATAGATCTTTATAACATCATAGTCCTATTTCCAAATACAGCTTCCAAGAATCTATATCCTTTTTCACCCGCTTTTCTAAGGAAAATTATTAAGGACAACAATTTTCTGTCTCATCATCTTGTTCGCTATTCACACGCAATTATTAAGCCGTGTAGCATGAAGATCTCCAAACTAATTTTAAGAACATGATCCCTTGATAGTCCAAGGAATCTCCAAACAAAGGGATGGACTTTTGAACAGACAATTAACTCTATTTCTTGGTAGTCAGGCACATTAAACATAATCTAAGTTATGAAAAATAATATTGAAAAGTACATTATCATAATACTATGCTAAGCACTCAAATGTTTTGTAATGGTTTAAAAGGCAATTTGAAGGAACACGGTTAAGTCCTTCTGTGAGTCAAGCTGGTCAGGATTTTTTTTTTTTCTCTTCTTTTTTTGAAAACATGACAGTTTTTTCCACTGAGAAATGTTCTATATTTAACAAAGCTCTTACTAGCAGCAGAAATTCAAGGAGAGACATTTGGGATGCAGAAAGTCAGGCTAAAGTCCCTCTCCCACCTAATTCTCTCAGCCTCTTACCTCCTATTGGAGCTGCTCTACTTTGTATAAATAACCGAATACTCACAGGAGTCGGATCTTGGATCAGGGTCTCCAGAACCCAACATGGGCATTCTACCCCTTCAATTAGAGTATTATTCTATTTTTGAGCCTAGAAGTTACAGAATGGATTTTTACAATGATTTCAACAAGGCGAAACAACTCCAACAGGGGAAAAGGACAGAGTTCCATATTGGTAGCTAATGGTCTAGCAGTTTGGGGAGCTAGTTCGGATGTGGAAGATGCAGATTGAATTCCCTGGTCTAAACCAAACAGAACAAACTTTTGAGCCTGCATCTTCTGTCCCCTAGGTGACTGCCCTAGCTACTGGATTATATGCTATTTTCGGAGGTCTTGCTCATCATCTTTTCCTCACTCTATTCTATTTAGGAGTAATCCTGAACATGCTCCAGGTGAAAAGGTTTAGTCTGAACTGTATTACAGTGATAATTTTCACTTCAATTCCTGAACCATTTAATTGTTTGAGATGAAACTTGAAAAGATTCTGTATTGTATTAATATTAGGTTGCCATCTCCACATACATGCTTACATTGCTTCCAAACGCAGATGCATAAAAGTTGCTTTTAAGCCTATACTTAGGAACTAAACAGTTGGTCTGAGTTTCAGAAGCACAGTGCCAGTACTGAGCTGCTCTCTATTGCCTTCATACAGACGTAGCTGCCTAATCGGTTTTTTTGCCACCAATTTTTTTAAAAGAAAAAATCTTAGCCTATGCCTATATATGCATTATTTTGCATTTTATTATAAACACTTCTGTACACTTGCAATGATCTTAACAGCACCTGCTTATGCATTCAAGGAACAGTAATTTAGTAATTAAAGCTAATAAACAGAACTTTCTTAATTAAGCCGTGTAGATCTGTGTTATCATACAATTTAAGCAAATCTCTGTTTATTTCAGTGTATAAAATCAGAATGCTTTTGGTAACTTGGGGCAATTTGGTACATTCTTAGAAATAACGAGATGATTCTTTCACATTGCCCAAATTCCATGTGCAGCAAACAAATCCAAATTTGTTCACTGTAATTTTGAAAGAACTTCAACTGAACAGAGTTTAGTAAGTAACTGAACTACATTAAGGAAAGTTTCCATGGGGATGCATTGACTTCCTCAATACAGTCAAAGAGTTTGTTTGTTTGTTTTAAATCGGGAGAATTGATTTACCACATTTAATTTTACTTCCTGTAGCAGGCAATTTTTCAAGAGCCTTGCTGATTTTTTAAAATTTTTTTTTACTGTGTTCAAAATCCTAAGATGTATCTATGGTCTACAATATGAACCTGAAGGAAGTTTATGTGCCATACCACTGTTTAAGTACATAAATAAAATCTACATTGTTTCCCATAAAGTAATCTTTTCTGTACAAATGCAGAAAAGCCTAAACTGAATGGATTCTATTACAATACAATATAGGATTTCATATTGACTTTAAGAAGCATTATCACCTCCTTGACTAACCCTTAGCTGCCAGCAGACGCTGCCTCAGGCCAGTACACACCTAATTGCTCGGTAAAAAGGCCGTTTCCCTACCTCATTGAGCCGGATGATGTGATAAATTTGCCTCAGGTACTCGCTGCCACCTGGTTTGTGGCAGATATCCAGGACCATCATGTTTATTTTCTGCTCAGTGAATCCAAGTGCAATACCTCCTTCCTCTAACGTTGCACCTTCTACTGTGACTGAGGCACTAGAATGTAGAAAAGATGCAAATATTCTCTAAATCAAATTTCTAAAAACCAAAATATTAATACAAAGTCAGCTAAGACTACACGTTAAAAAAACCCTTTGGCTAAAGGTTTGTCTTGCACAAAAAAAATGTTGCTGTGTAGACATCCCATAAGCCTTCCTACAAATACAAAATAAAAGCTAAATAACATATTTTTATGATACCAATTTTATTTTAATCTGAAAGATGAAAACATAAATCATTCTTTACCCCAAGAACACACAAACAGCAAATATTTTTTTTATTTTCTTATCCACTAGAGAAGTATCTTTGCTGCTAGAAATGGCATTCGATCTTTTGTACATTTTTCTTTGCCTGTCGCTGCACATATTAAAGACTAATTAACATGTCAGAAAGGTAGCCATTACTCTAAGTATAGGTTAGAAATTTTAAATTGAAGTCTTTTTCTTCCCACTGCTATGGTAGTAAACACTTCAAAGGTACCTATTTGCCACTTGTTGCACTTTTTGCCCTGTACTGTTCCTTGCTGTTGTTCTTAAAAGTATTTGTATCAAGCTGCCACAAAAAAATGTGAAGGTTACAGGCCCAAATGGCTTCAAAATGTGCATTCAAAGCTCTGACGGCTGTTAAATTGCTCTCTCTGCACACAAACATAAGTTACCAGCTCTGTACTTGCTTAGTACTGCAAGTATTAAGAAAAAAAGTACTAAAACGAATTATTTTCCTCAAATATTAGAGCTGCAACACAGATATATGTTGACACCTTGACACAGATGTGTCAAGAACTTGAAAGACCAGTAGAATGTATTATTATCCCTTCTACAGGCATTACTGGATTTATACAAAATATATGAAAGAAGCATTCTGATTTTTTTTTTTTTTTTTTAAAAAAAGCAGTATTTTCAGTTTTTTAGAAGTAAAACCAAAACACCCAAACATACTCTGGTAGAGTCAGCTGTAAGTTGCAGCTTACTGTTGGAAGTGTGCCATGATTACAAAGGTAGTTCTACTGGAAATTGCTGTTTGACCTGCAGGCTCAGTTAAATGCTACGCAGCTGCTGGACATTAAAGCTGATACTGCTTCCACATGCAGCTTCAGAACGTCCTACAGAGCAAATGGTTTCAAAATCTAAACTATAATTTTCTTCTTAGCAGAATGGAAGTAAGTGATACTCTGTTATTATGGTGTATTTTACAGAAAAGCTTCAAAGAATTGATCTTTAAAATTAAAGCACACTTAGGCTGATCCTTTGATGACACACATAGATACAACCTGAATTTCTTGTCAAACTTCTTAGCGACTGACATTGAAAAAGTTGAGGACCTCTGACAAAGGAGCATATCGGTGTCAGTGCCCAGATTGTATCCTTTCCTGTCCGTCACTGTGCAGGTGAAGCAGATGATTGGATTCAGTCAGTGCGATGATTAATGAGTTCCTCTCTGGATTTGGGACTGCCTATCAATCATGTCATTAGGAAGAATGTGCCCTGAAAGAGGCAGACCTCAGCCAAGGAATAACTGCATTCATCTTAATCTGTGTATGCACCCAGCCAGCCAAGTCAGGGTCACCATGATGAAAAACAATAATCTTCAACTCGACAAATTACTTTGCAAAGACAGACATTTCTTTTCTTCTCAAGATGCATGTTCTTCAGAATCTAACGTGACTGTTTACAGCTCTGGTGCTACCATAAAGTGAAGGTTATTTTAATGAATAGTAATGCTTTCAGGCAGTACACAAAGCAGGCAATGTGTACAACTGCCACTTTCTGAATCTTTCACAGAAGATTTTTTTTTTTTTAAATTTTCCTAAAAACTAAGTTAGATTTGTATGCCACAATGGAAGAACCTACATAATATTTAGACTTGTTATGTAGCTGGCAGTCCTTGTAACAATAACATAACACAAAATCAAACACGACTTTTGCTTATAAAAATCCAGTACACTTCAATGATGTTTCCACAAGTGTGTAGGTGAATCCCAAATAAATTTTTGAAGTTTATGGTTTTTATTTTCTTCCACACACTGTATCTATTAAAACCCTATAAACACTTATAAATATAGATATAAATGCATGTGCATACAGTTGCCCACAAAATCCTTTAATTATGAAGGGGTTATACAGAACATAATTTTACACCAACTTAGATTTTCAAATATAATTACTCCTATTTCAAACAAATCACGTAAACATCACATCTCCTCTTGAAAAATCTGCTTTTAGTTTAGCGATTATGTGATCGCTACTTAGTTTAACTGATACTTGAATTTCGGCTTTAACATATTAGTTTTATAATTTGCATTTATAATAATACTTTATCTCTACATTGCATATCTCAGGTATTTACTAAGTAGGTTGTTTTTCCCCGGAAATCGACTCATGACATTTGAATATAAAATGGAAAAATAACATTTATGCTACACTTCCACTGCAGAAATCCCACTGAAGTCAGGGGACTTAGTTTCACAACTGCATCACGTTAACTACTCACTTTGAGAGCAGGTACTGCATTCTTCAGTTTCCTAACTTTAAAATCAGGAGTTCTAGTCACAAACTAGTTCTCACTTTGGTTGACACTGTACACATACAGAAAACATTTCCCCACATTGATTTCCCACAGTCTGATACTTGATGGATAATACACCATTTCTATGGTATGAGAGAAAAGAAGATAGGTTTATATAAATTTAAAATTCTCAGCTTCAGAAGAGGTGCAAATACTAATGTTTTCATTTTTAGAGGTTATCCACAACATTGTCTTACCCTGCACTTGCATTTTTTTAAGAAATACTTAGTCTCTCAGTGACATTAGAAACTGCATTATGGAACCATTCTGTTAAGTATCAATTTACATATTATCATTAGGAGTTTTTTATTCTATCACTCAGTCACTCTCATCTGGCTTCAATCTTTTCATCATTGGATTAGAGCTTGTAAATTAGTATTAAATAGAAATGTAAAGATTAGAAAGGTCAATGTCAATGAGCATTCCTGTGACACTATTACTGCTTAGTGCTACTCACGTTAACTGACTCCTACCTTAATGCACTGCCTGAAAGTCTGTTCACCGATATCAGTGATTTCGACCCACAATCACTATATCCTTTGTTTATATGTACAATTACTGTCAGGATAGCAATGACTGCAACCTTCAAGACTATTCATTAAAAAAAAGAGCAATCTTAGTTTCAGCAGTCAACAATTCAATTCAGTAAGTCACGTAACTCCAATAAATCTGATATTGGAAAACTGATGAATAGTATTTTTACAGAACAGTACACGACTTCAACACTAAAACAGACTGGACTAGGAACACATTGATGTGTACACAGGTCCTTGAAAAATCATTATAAGGATTTAAAACATTCCGACCTTAATGTCAAATCTGCAGGGAAGGTTGATATTTCCTCAGAAAGGCACAGCAGGGTGCTCTCCTTGTCCTGTTTTGATATATCCTACTTGCCCTCAGGGTTTGTTATGCTTTAAAATGAAGTATGCTCACTTTTTAATCACAGATGACTGAAAGCTTTTCATAGTTCCTCTTCATTTAATCACCACAGCAAAATTAATTGATAAATATATTGTGGTGCCTTCTACTCAGAGTACCTGTTCACATTCTGAAAGATACACATGTGGATAAATTGTCCATGTTTTCAGATCATCACAAAAATATGAAATCTCTGAGTACTATGAATACACTGTTCCAATGAAACAAGGCAATTAAGTTACAAAAACACGCTATAGAGCCATCAATATTAAGAACTAATCCATTTCATACAGGATCACTGTTCATCTACCTTTTTTTAAAAAAAAATTGAACAATAGCCATAAACATGCCAATAATCCAGTAAAATAAAGAACAAAGAACAGCATTTGAAAAACACTACGTTCTTACCAGTCTGTGCTCAATTTTCTTGCCTTCAGCAACTGGCTTTCAATCCAGTTTGGTTTTTGCTGTTCAATGCTTTGTATAACCTTCTGGGTCACTTGCTTAGGACCACTTTTCTGTTTTCCCATAATACTTTCCAAGCACACACGAACTAAACTGAGTTTTTCTTTGCTCCATCTGTCAAGTGTTGCACCTGTTAAAAGTTCTGCAGTATTTCCATCCTCAAATATCCGACATATAATTACAATCAAGTTCCAGACAAGCAGACCAGCTTTCTTCAATTCAGCAAAGTTTCTTGACATTTTTCTCTCAGCCAGAAAAAAGAAGTACTTAATTGGGGGAGGCAAACATGCAATCACTGTAGGTAACTTGCTGATTACAATAGATACTGCCTGAGCTGCAAGCCTTGTGAAGCCTTAAAAAAAAGAAAGAAAAGAAGATATGATTAACATTAACATTCTAGTTCTATCACAGCATGCTTCTGAATGTTCTATGATAATTTCTAACTTTCTTTTGTACTGAAAATGGGTAAAAAGCCTAAGTACTCAACACATGCAGCTTGACTTCTATTGTGCTTCCTCCACACAAATCCCACAAAATCTAAACAATAACATGAATTAAAAACAGAGGGCCTTGAAAATTTAGAATTCAGACTGTGACTGTCTTAACAATTAGTCCTGCTGTGCACAGTTATTACAGAATAAATGAAAAAGACAACATCCAGGTATTTTGAATGGTAAAAAAGTTGTCTTCAAAATCATAGTGTAATTTTTTTTCGACTTCACAAGCAGAGCATTGCACTAAGTGTCTCGTGATATTACATACATTCACAATCTTTAGTTTTCTATCAAACCCTTTCTTTGTCCACACCTACAAAGCTTCAGTTTATCAACTTTCATATAAGCATGCACACTATATAGCACTTCATTTTACACATTCCAGATATTAAAAGCACCTACAGAAGTAACTACAGGAAATACGCTGCTCATTAAATTTAAAAAATATACCAAAAGGTGATCCACAATACACAGTCAAGTCAAGATTTAAAAAACCACCAAAACAAAACCTAAACAAACCAAGAAAACCCCTGACTCATTGCACCTCTATTCTCCATTTGTTTAAAAAAAATAACATAAAAAGCCAGATCTGTTCTAGGTGTCACATAGCCAATTTAATTTGTCACTAAGTCTGAACCTTACCTCTCAGCTTGCATATCAGTTCAGTTTTAGTATTAGCCTAAAATAGCCATACAAGTCCTAGATGGCAGTGAGATCGCAGTGAGAGTGCAGTAAGCGCAGTGCTGCATAAATGTGCCTCAACATGCTGAAGGGAAGATATATGGAAAGAAAGAATGGACTGATGGCCTGACTTGCCCACAATCGACAGAGACAAAACTTTATGTCAGAACACACTACTGTATTGAAAATAATCAGGTAATATTTTGGTGGCCATAAATTTATAGTGAAATGTTTCCAAAAGTTAGCCTTTTGAAATGACGGAGACTTTAGGCACTGTAGGCTATGAAAGTATATACCAGAAATTATCTTTACATCCAAGCACCTTCAAAAAATCTCCTACTACATATATTATTTCTCTTTCTTCAGTAACTGTTTCAACAAGCAAGCAGTAGCAAATTCCATACCAGCCTCAGTGATATTCAAACATAAATTGCTGTTGTAAAGTTGGGAGGAATAAGTTGTTACCATTTCAGACAACACTGTATATTTAAATTTAAACAGTCCTGGCTGAAAATACGATAACTAAGAAAAGAATTAGTTGCAGCCATTAAGACAAGAGCATAGCCATTACACTTTACTCTGTCTTGAATCCCACCCTACTACTACCAGATGCTAAAAATATTCTCAGTACTATTATTATCAGCACTACAATACTGATTATCTTAGAAAGCTTTGTTTGTGTATGCAAGGCTAAGTATTTTAAAAAAAGTGCAGCACGTTTGGAAATTGTTTTGCTCATTGCCAAACCGCAATGCTCATGAACTGTAACTATTCAATTTTGATATGTACTCATAAGCTTTTATGACAAATTTATAAACTAGTATAAATTTCACCCACATTTCCCAGATTCTTTTCTCTTCATTTCCCGAGGAGTGTAATTCCATTCCTTCGGAACTGTTTTCAGTAAACTTTCAGGAACTATTTGCTTGTGCTGGTATGTTCCATAGTTTTCTGTTGCCTCCCATGAATGCATCAAAGAAATTATCTGCTTCACTATACCCTTGACTGAATTAATCAAAGTCAACTTCAAGCATCTGATAACCTCTGGCTCCGACTCACCACAACTGGAAACTTCAGAAGGAAGAATTATTAAATATTCAGTAAGTGTAGTCATTTGTGTAAATCTGTTTCAGAAAGAAGTGTTCCGGAATTCTCATGGAAAGAGAAGCAAAACATTATGATTCATAATAACTTAGACTTATTGGTCTGTTACAAATTAAAGAAAGAGTATAAAGCAAATATATAGCAAGTATAAAGTGTAGCATCTTGTACCAACTTATCACAGTACTGATGAAAAATACCATCTAATTTATTTCATTCATCCTCATTTCTCCATCAATATATTTCTAAGATTTCATATAAGCTGACTGATGTCTTCCTTTTTATATGGACTACATTTAATTACTTGTTAGACATCAATGAGGCAAACGGATATACCTGGGTTTTTCTACTTCCTTGTCCTGATAGCATTAAGGAAGTTGTGTTTATTAGGTACCCAAACTGTACTAGAGATACACAGAAATACTAGAGAACAGCAAAGATATTTTGGAAACAAAAATGCATACAAATAATAGCCATCAACGAAGACATAGCATGTTATCAGAGATTGCACGTTGAAAATAGGCCTTCCTAAATACAGTTATTGACATTACAACAAGTATCAATCTTCTCCACATTTTTAACACCACAGAGAATTGCAGTTTCTCCATTGCCATGGAGCAGCAGAGTGCTGCAGGACGTACCAGAGACAACATTTGCCATGTTCAGTCCTTTTGCTTGTCTGTACTTTTTGCTGATCCGAGTTTTACTCTTCTCCACATGGTCTTTCTGGAAGCTTCCATGCAAGATTTCTATATTTTTCTTCCTTTTATACCTTAGACTTCTACTTTTTGCAATCCCATTTTTCTCTGAGGAATACCTAAGCACTTTTACCAGCATTGTTTTCTATTTTGTGATATTCGTAATACCATTTCCCGTCTTACATTCTCTCATTTTCTTCCTTTCTTTTCTTTTGAGATTTCCTGCATTTCAGCTATCATTTGCGAGATTACCCTTCTAAACCTCACCTCTCTTCTGGTTGAACACTGCTTTTCCTTGGGGGCAGTGTCAGCTGCCCTAACTGCGAGGGCAGCTCCCTGTCTCCATGGAAAATCAGGAGCCTGCCTCCCTGTTGACAGCAGATGCCCACCAGACCATGTCTCCCTCAATAGGAGTCTTTCCTTTTCTTTTCCCATGCTCCTTTAATTGTTTCTTACTTTTAAATCATGGCAAAGGTCTGGAGCAATTAAATGCACAGAGACAAAGAACCTGTAATGGCAGAGAGCTACACAAACTATCTGCTGCCAGCCTGCTGGTAAGACAGACTCTTAAGGAAATCAGACTTCTGGTTGACCACACCTCACTGTAACCTCTGCTTTCTTCAAAATTTTCTCCACTCCTACTATGACCCAATTGTTCAAAACACTTCAATTATACTATAATTTTGGAGTAAACTACCGTCATTTCATTTAATTGGTTACGGTAAAAATATTACGTGCTACAGGTCTGAAAACTGACAAGGTTTAACATCAGATTTTAAATACTTATTAATAAGTTAAATACCTGTCATATTGTATAAACAATTCCACAACTGCTCTTTTTCCATGTAGGTCTCAAAAGCAATGCCAAGAGATTTGGGTGATAAAGTGCAGTAAGACAATACTGTGAAGATTGTTTCAATCAGAGTAGGCTCTTTGTTATTTGTCTGTTCTAAGAGAGAACTTTGTTCATCATGATTCAATACTTTATTTCCTTCAAAATAAACAAAAACATGGTTACAATAATTTGCAAGTAATTCAAGTTCACAGAAATAGATGGTATTAATCAAAACACACTGCAAACTGTATCTGAATAATATTTTAAACAATAATACTACTTACTGAAATCTGATCTTCCTCTGCATAATGACATTTGACTGTCTTCCTGAATTATATGTAGCCATTAAAAAAAAAGACTGAAGCATGTTTACAAACTATGGAATATGCTTTTTTAATTAAAAATGCCTCAGTATATAATTAGAATTTGATTATTTACTAAATATTACTTGGAAGTAAATTGTACTACTTCTGTCAAATCACAATCAAAAAGTTATTACTGCTTAACTTCTCTTACCCATATATTAGCCATGTGAAATAACAGAACTCTATTTAGTTACACAAAATAAATAAAGTAGCAGCTGCATACTTCCCAAAATGGGTTGGCTTTGTTTTTCAGCATAAAATGGAACACAGAAAAAATCAGTTCCACAGAACAAAATTTCAGCCCTGCTAAGATACAGATACCTAGGTTTTTAAAGACAACTACCGTTTTTCATAGTCAAGCAATACCAGCTTACATAACATGTATTTCTAAATGGTTTTGATAATCATTGTAATCAACCCAGCTGAAAGATGATGCGTTTAAACCTCTTTGAACCAATGCAACTCAATGGCTTTAACTTGTGCCAATGTCCCACATATCTGTGGAATATGCTTTTGTTGTTAACACTCATAACAAATGACCAGAGCCAGAATCAATGAAACCCTTTTAATTTAAATTTCTGGTTTGCAAAACCAAAAGTTTCTATAAAACTGATTTCAACAGAATCAGGATAACTTGAGGATATCATTGTTTTATGCCAGTTTGGCTGCCCTTACCTTTAGCAACCTGTGCAGGAGAAAGATGGGAGAGACTACATTTCTAGGCTGTATTTTTCTAGTGGTTCAAACAGTCTTCAAAATCTACCCCAGTGGAAAACTGATGCTTTCCACCCAGCTCTGAATGACTTGGGAATGTTGTAAAATTCAAAAATCTCATTTTACTCTCCTCTGAATTCCTACAATCTAGTTCACACATTGTTGTAAACCATTCAGTCTAGTTAGCGTGCAACCTTAACAGAAACAGCCCATAGGATGTAGAAAGCTGAAAAACAAGACCAATGATTTCATAACCAACAAATTGTGGGTTTTTTCCCTAAGGCAGGAGACAGATCAGCAATAAGAATTTTTTTAGTCAGCTTTTTTTCCCATGAGTTGAGTGAGCTGGCATATTTTGCTGAGACACCTTCCAATGCCAGATGCTACTGAACGAAGAATCAAATGGATTCCACTAATTGACTCACAACAGTGACATGATGTCTAATATGAATATGACAAAGAAAGAACCAAGAAAGCAGAAAAAGCAGTTCAAAAAGGAAAACCTGGAGGTATTCAAATTGTGAGGTGAAAATTTGACTTGAACTTTGACTATATTACTCTAAGTATTTTTTTCAAACTAATTTAACCAAATTCTAGGGAGAAGGTTTGCTGAGATTTTAAATACTATGTAAACTGTCTTGGCAGAACATGATGGGAAATAGCTTTGTTTAAAGCGGCTTATGACTTATTTAATTAATTAAGCCTAAATTTTCTTTATGATCATGCCACATGGATAGTTTGAGTCATAACTTCGTAACTTTTCTAATAAACTTAGTGCTACTAATAAATCTAGGTAAATGGAAAGAAGTATAAAAGAATTCTGCAAGGGGTTATACATATATCTTCTTATAACTAGTATATAACACAACTCTTGTGCTTTTAAGCAAAGATCTTCAGGAATCCACTGGGAAACCATTCTGAGGCTAAACATAACAAGATACGTAAGCTTTCATCAGCTTTTTCTTATTTACCCTGAACTGAATGTTGCCCTTGTTGTAACAAAATCTGACCCTTGAAAGCTCAGGTTGAAATGAGTTTTCTGACTGATAAACTCACATGGATCATAGAACAGTTTGGGTTGGAAGGGACCTTGAAGGGTAATGTCAGTTGGTTGAAAGGTTTAGCTAGTTGATCAGTAGAGCTGGTTAAATATTATGAATTAAGAGTCTACAGAAAGATATGTAGATTTCCCTTGTTTTAGAATTTTTCTTTAACATTTATTAGCTCACCTGTCATAACATTAAATATTCATCTTAGTTTGAGCTCCAATGCAGCCTTCTTGTTAATCATCACATAAGAACAGTATTTATATGATAGGCATCATATTTATTGCCCACTGACGCTTCCCTCTGTATATTTCTCTTTTTTCCAGTCACTGCACTTGTATAACAAAACTAACCTGTGAAGGGAATCTAAAGCTCCTATAGATAGCTCAAAGGAGATGCTTCTTTTTCATTTTAGCAGGACTTGAATCCATACATTAATATGCCTATACACACTTATCTTAGGTACCTGTTGAAGAAAATCTGCTATTTGTTATTTCCATATAGTATAATGTTCCATATGCACAGAGGATGCCAAAAGATATATAAAATATTAATATTATTAACAAATATGTTTATAAGAATATTATGTATCTAGCTATGCCCTAACCAGCCACAATGAATCATTCTTCCTATGACAAAGTAATGCACTTAACCTCCTGGGGTAGCACTATGTATTTTAAAAACATATCTTCAGAGAGGAAGACTTATAAGTGTAATTTCTTCTTATTTATTTCCTATTGATAGAAATACCTCCCAGTAACTTGCTGACATTATCACACTCATCCAGTTCTTATCTGCTACTGGTTTAGCCATGAAATGAATCTTACTAATTTTAGAAAATCTTCTGTTGTGAACTGTAGACTTCTTCCCTAGTGAATCCTTACAAGACAGACAAGCCATAAACAGTTATGCTGTCTTTCTTGACCAAAAGTGGTAGTCAAAATTCAACTTTATACATGCTGGTTCATTCAGTAAGAGAAACTAAAGATGGAGTAAGTTATCTCTGATACTGTTCTTTTATTTGCAAAGAGCATAAAACTTTGCTTGCTTCATTGTTTAAATCACAGCAGCTGATGAGGATATAAAGAATGCAAAAAGGTTTTATTTGTTTATAGAACTGAATCTTTCAACAGGCACTCTGCCCTACTTGCTTCTTTGCACTATATTCTCAGTGTTGCTTCTGTCACTGGCTTTTTTTTCTATTCTCCTCTCCAATGCAATCATTCTCCAGTCAGTCTTGACAGCTAGAATCTATGGCAACTTTGAATATGACTTCATTTTGGCAGAAAGTCTATTATTTCAGGTTTAATTTCAAAAAGAAATTTTAGATCATATTACTTCTGTCCTGAATGAAAAGCAGATTTTAACCCTATCCAGTTCAATTTCATAAGACTCAAGTAATAATATCCCTTGTATTAGCTGCTACCTGTGAATCCAATGAATCCTAAATTTGTGACAACTAAAAAGCTCAACATAAGAAAAAAAGACTTTAACAATTTTTGTATCACATGTCCATAAATTATTAATATATCAGCAAACTACTTCTGTGCCTCTATACTTATACGTTACCAATCTATATACTTTTAAGTCACCAGTCTCATAGAATTTTACTACCATTCAACTCCCTTTAGAATTTTTTTCTCCCTAAACATTTTATTTTCAACTATCTGAGAAGAAGCTTCCATTAATGAATCTCTGAGTTAATGGCTTCTGTGAAATCTATCTCACCCATATCAACTAGAAAAAATCATTACTATCAGAAAATCTCCAGCACTGATTTTATGGGATAATATGCTGAAATTGTGGCATTGTGATAGCCCAAATCTGAATTTAGTCCTATGGCCACATTACCTCCTTTGTATTACTCCATGTATTGGGATCGATACTGAACAGGTTACCCTTTTAAAATTTATTCAGTTGAGCTCTATTGTAGCAAGAAGTTCCTACCAGAAATGACTAGGTCTTTGAAAGGCTATCCATATGACCACGTATCACAGTCAGAGACGATTTTCGCACTTTGTCAAGAGAAGGTACATGATTCTCAGCAGAGCTCTACTACAGTCCAAATGGAAATTCAAATTCAATATTTCAGAAACTCCATAAAATCCATTTACTGTTTTCTTTAGCTTATCACTGGAAAGTGATCAAAAGGAATAGGATATGTGATTAAGGTCCCTTTTCTACTGATCTTCCAGCTAGAAGTACATCATGCCAGTAAACCCTTCTACCATTTTACCACATTGGTTATGCATGTACAGTATGCAGTAAGTTTACTGGTCAGATGGATATTTTGAGGAGATGCCACTTTTAAAATAATTACCTAATCTTTTGTTGTCAGGATACCACGATACAGTTTGCTATCGTGAAGAAGCAAAACTTTCAGGTGTTCTGGAGTCTACACTCACAAGCCTTATCCTGGATGATCCAGAGAGCTATTTCCGCACAAGCATATAAATTCCTCTAAGAGACTCGCCTGTGCTCTCCTAATGACGACAGTGTTGCAGATCAGCCCTCAAGTTTTGTCAAAAAACCTGCAAGACTATTTCCCCAAAACTGTGTGTGGTTGAACCATGGGACTAGCACAGTTGCTAGTTCTTCCAGTTGCCTGGTAGACTGTCTCAGGATTATTAAATCTCAAGGAGTTACTACGAGGTAGTATAAAAATAATGACCCTCAAGCACTTGAAATAAAATTTTTAAATTGTTATGCAGATTTAGCCGATGCCAGGATTTTAATGGAAATGGTAATTTATTTCAAGAATGTACATTTTGATTTGTAATAACTCACTACTGTCTCTCAAAGTTCAGTCTGATTCCTAAGTGAAATCAGTTGGTAAAGTCACCACCTTTCACTGTTCTTTTAGGGTAACTTGCCAAAAATCAGTGCTATTTACCTTTAAAGGCCTAAAATTTAATTAATTTAAATAAATGTAATTAAAATTTAATTAGCGCTTAAAATTTACCTTAAAATGCCCCACTATTCATTGTGGCTGTTAATGAGGTGCTTCACAAGGGGCAAAGAACTAGAGTGGGGGAAAAAAAATCCTTTCATTCTACAAATATATTTTCAAGTAACTTCTCTTGCCAGAAATCAGTTTATAAAAGCACAGTCTTAGAAAACTCTTCATATCTATTAGCGTCTAGGGAGCTGCTGCTACTGCACCACACAGTTTTATTTTCTCAGTGGAAATCCTCCCTTCCTCACCCTGCTTATGCATGCAAGGTAAATTATCTCTTTTTGAAGCAATTCACATTTCTTTGGGTCCAATTTGAGATTTGCAGCCTTAAACTTATCACTGAATATCGGCAAATGTTACTATCAGTTCTTATTCCAACGTTTTAGTGGGGACTGGGATATCATCTATGTTTAACCACACAGGCTACACAATATCCTTTTCCATTAGTCTCTGAAATATGATTGCGCAAGCCAAAAACACTAGGTGAAACTGCCAATGGCCTTGTTCTGCTATGAAATCAGTCTTCTTCCAGTTTGTCTCCATATGCCAATATTCACTTTAAAGTTGTGTAGAAAATGAAATTAAATCTCTGTAACAATTGGAGTCTCATGTATTCATTGTAATTAGTAAGGTTTTTTTTAAAAGGAATACATTGCTTTTTTTATTGTACCTTTTTAACTTGGTGCTACCACGTCTAAAACAAAGGCAATGGTGAGGCCCAAGGACTAACTGAAGCCCTCGGACGTGCCTTGTTGATGATTTCTCAGTGACCTCTTTCTTATCAGCGACTAGTAGATGGCGAGGTGTCTGTTGACTCATGAGGTTCCCTTTAGTATTAATCCTGTGCTGGGCCAGTGTAACTCAATAAAGCTACTGCTTTTTCCTTTATTATACAAAGAATAACTCCTGGTTCCTGAAACAAAGACTCTCAAATAAGAAGTCACAGACTGTTCTGCTGGGATGCTGTGCATTCAGAGCAAGTCTAGCAGAATTTCTCAAAGTTCACTTTCACCCTTCCCGTTTTCATATCGGCATCTGCTGCACTCAACTCATATTACGCAAGTACCACTTTCTTTATTTCTCTACTATTTGTTGTTTGTCAAAATAATCCATTTCTATTTCGTATTAATGGGTGACAAAACAATTCTGGTAAAAACATTCCACCAAGAAAACTGCAAAACAGTTTGTTTTGTCAGAAAATTAACAGTACTAGCTACCTTCATTGTTTCTCTCTGCAAAGGCATAGCAAAGGCCCTAGACCCTCGCTCACCCAATAATATGCTTTAGAAGAAATTTTCTGAATGTTGGCCTGTAGAAAACAACTCTGGGATTCTATTACACTGTAACTAACTGTAATTCAATACACTTAGGTTATTTAGACTTGTAGTTTAAGTTATAGAAGTCCAATATGCAAATCCCATTTTTCAAATATTTTTTTCAAAGTTGCCTTTTACCCAGCGGCAACAAGTAAGTGGTTCAGTTTGGGGTATCCTGATTTATTGCCTTTAGTATTTTTGATGTGATAACTTCATATTTGAAAAGCATTTTACTTTTTATGTACATTTCACATATCATATTCCACCAAAAATGACAGAAGTCCAAATCTTGTCACCTCCCTGTCCATATAGCTTATAGGTAAACACATGGAGTTTCAATACCTTCAACAAATAGGATAACCTTCGTGTAATATTTAGCAACCCTAAATCATGCATACATGCATTCCCTCTTTTCTTTCTACTGAGACAACTTTGCCAAGCCCAACAGTACTCCCTGCTATGACGGGGAATATACATTATTTCTGACCCTCACCATGGCACAAGCATATGAGAACAATGGGAGTGCAAATAAATTAAAAGTGTTTGTGTGATGTCTACTGCAAGTATCCCAAAGTATTGCTATAATACAAAAAAATGTTATCATTGCCTAAAAATATCTACATATAAGCACCTCTTTATATAGAATGTTTGCTTTTTTGCCTGTTTTTTCAAGGCAAAAGGAAAGATTGGGTGTAAAGTAAAATGAAAGAAGACTTTTCCTGTCCAAAGAATTCTTAACATCTAGTTAAATACCAGGGAGTTTTGCTATCACCAGGGCAAATCACTTAAAGAACCATGGTAAACTTGGCTTTTTATCTGTTTTCATGCATAATACTACACATTGCAAAATTTTACTGTTGCTGAGGACATACTTCTGTAAGCCTTTTATCCTACTGAACAGAAGAATCCAAAACTGTCATTGCTAGTACTAAGGTATGGCTTATTAGTCCAACTTTCCGTGTACTAATACATAACAGCTCACATAATAAAAAATTTTTATCTTACATAGCATCAGAAAGCTGCTGTATAGAAGGAATAAAGAATATGATCATTTAATCATTAGATAATTAACCCTCTTGAAATTAATTTAGAAGATACAGATCATGACAGGTTTCAATTTTATCTAATCTGAAAGTTTATTCACACCAATATTGTAATTACATTAATAAAGTCTGTGTAAACAGCACATTTTCTAAATCAAAGCTGCACGTATTTCCCTGAAGCTCAGGAGGCTGGTCAGTCAATAGATTAATACGTTCTGTCACTTAATACCTGTGATAATTTAAGCAGCTAGTAAAATTTAATATTGGATAACACTAGGGTAAGAATATGACCCTGATCAAACATTTGTCAGTCTTTGAAACAGATGACAGGTATTTGAATAGGCAAGTGGATGCAGTGCAGCTCTCAGTAAGATGCACAACATAAGTGGAAGAAATGTTGTACCCCTGGCAAAGGTTAGACCCCTTTAAAATGACAGAATTAAATTATGTTCTATCTAATAATATGTGGACTTAATTTTTTTTTTTGATAAGCAGCGAGAACTCTTTTGCAAAAGAACAGCAGAAACAGAGACACTCATTCACTATTACTGCAAAATTATGTCAAACAGGTGATTATACCATTAGGTTTTCACCAATCTGCTCATTTGATCCAAAAGCTATTAAAAGGAAAGATGTGATAAAGTTTGTTGCTTCAAAGACAGTATTAGCAGATTGAAAAGAAAACCTTGTAGAACCATTCTTTTATTTGTTTTACTTTCACAACGGCATTAATAAGAGTACTAACATGAGGAAGCATATAAATGTACTTCTAGAATGCCTACGGTGACAAACATAAAATAACTTAAACAAAATCTGTAAGATTTCCACTGCTGAAACATAATTTTGGAAGTGATCCTCCAGACTACTAATCCACACTTATGAAAGCGATGAGTTTTTGCTTTCATTCAAGAAGTGTCCTACTGATAACTGAACAGCCACCAATACCCCCAAAAACGGTTGACAGCCTTCCTTCAG